GTGTGTGTGTGTGAATATGATCTCTTTTGTTTCCAAGTAAAGAACCATGATCTCAGGATGGAACACAAAGTGGGTAGTCACTCATAAGTCATCAACAATCTGCTCATGTCGGATTCTTTGCTCTCGGAAAAAAAAATTGGGCTGTAAATTTCGCATTCACCTTCATTTTCATCTAACCTATAGTCTAGCCGACAGTTTGGGTACTACTGTAAATTATGCACCTAACTTCGTCTACTTCTCTCAACGCTCAGTCTTTTGTAGTAAAATGTTCCAGACACGGCCAGTCCACTCTTTGACGTTGTCATCCCATTGATTCCCCTGTCTGCCTCTTCGTCTCCCTCCTAGAGCTGTCCCTTGTAGGGTAGTCCTGGCCACCTCAGATGATCGTGTGATGTGCACGGACCACTTCAGTATCTTTAGTTAATTTTGAATAATCTATTATCATTGTGTCAGAAGTACATGAGTATTTCCGTTGTCTTTACACCCGTTTTGTCTAGATAGTACTGATTATGATTCAAACTATTGTCTTTAAAACCCCCATTGACCCAGTTAAGATCATTATTAATAGGGCAGTCTGCTTCAATCTTTTGTTGCTTCTATTGTTGTTGCTGCTGCTGCTGGTGCTGTTGTTGTTGATGTCGTCGTCGTCGTCGTTGTTGTTGTTGTTGTTGTTGTTGTTTTTGTTGTTGTTATTGTTGTCCAGTGTCTTTTTTGACCGTGTCATTCTTATGAACTTGTTATCATCTTACAATAATTGAAAAAGAGAACGTTTGTAAGATAATACTATGTTGTTTTACCACAAAGAAAAAACACAAGCTATGAATACTAATGTTTCAATCTGACCGCTAATATTGATTATATCTTTCTTTCCTTAGCCTTTTGTCGCCTATTCTGCCACGTACAAGGGGACATAAACCTCTTTCTACTCTATCCTCGAGAAGAGAGAACAGATTTTGAAGCTATTCGTTTGTCATCCACCCTACGACTTCACTACCTTAATAATACAAAAATCTTTCTGACAATTTTGGCTGTTTTGAGTTACTATGACCATGAGGTCAGAAACCCAATGCTCTGTCTGCGCTATCAAAATCGTAAGATTACCCGGAGTCGTTATCAAGATATTCAAAGAGTTTCATTCGAAAAAGCTTGACAAGTGAAACTCAAAATCTTTGACCTAAAAACTGAGTCGATAGAAATTTTTAATTTTAAAGTAGCGACTGAAAAAAAAGAAAAACATGTGAGAAGGAGCAGTATTATTTAGTAACATTGTTATAATTGTTAATCTTTGCCCTCCGACTACTGTGTGAGAGGGCATTGGAATACGACCAAGATCTCCATGTCGTATTTTTGGATCAGGAAAAAGCTTTAGATTGAGTAAATAGAAACAAGCTATGGAAGGTCCTTGAGCAGTACGACATCAAGGGACAACTGCTAGACAACAGCAGGGTTATCCATGCCAACAGTAGAAGTGCAGTCCGCACTACCAGAGGAAGTCGGACTGATTTCCAGTAACATCCGGAGTCAGACAGGGCTACAATCTTTTCCCTCTGCTCTTCGTGATCTACATGGACCAGATTACAAAGGAGGCCAATCCAGACCGAGAGGCACTCAACGAACTCATGTTTGCAGACGATCTGGCAATGAGGAAATACAAGACTCAACTATAGGAGCATAATAACAAAAAGAACCAACTAAACGCGAGCTGCGAGAAATATTGCATGAAGATCAGGGTTAGAAAGACCGAGGCAATGACAGTAAGCAGGAGGCCAGACAAAGTGGATATCAACATCAATGGATCCAAACTACAACAAAGTATCAAATTCAAATACTTGGGCAGCATTTTCACAGAAAGTGGCAAATTAGGTCGAGAAATAGAGACTAGAAACCAGAAAGCCAATGCAGTCAGCTGTCAACTCGCCCCTCTCCTGAAACATCCCAATAACCCCATGGGCACCAAGGCAAAACTCTTCAACGCCTTTTTTCTTACCAACGCTGACATATCAGTGCCAGACATGGTCCCTAACAAAAGCCCACGAGAGGAAGCTGGTCACATGCGAACTGAAATGCCTTAGTAGAGCGGTA